TATGTATACACAATTTTCTTTAAAATAAAACTTAATAATTATATCACATTTTTTCTTCTACCCATTAAGCAATTTTTTTTTTCACTTTATTTACACAAGAATTCTAATCTACATTTTTTTTTTTATATAAATTTCTATATTTTAATATACAAGCACAAAAGATGCAATTTACTTAATTATAAACAATACATAATATATTTGTTTATGTTTTATATGAATTAATCACTTTATAAATTTATTACCATTTAATCAAATTACTTATCTAATTATTATTTAGTTCCTCTTTACTTACTAAAACAGCATTATTAAAATATCGCATAATCATTTATATAAATATATTTACTTATTTTATATTGATACTTCAATGTTAGATCATAGCATTATTTATTTATGTTATCATAGCCGTAGATTATACCATAATGTTCGGGACATGTTAATTATTCAACTAAGTATAAAGACTTAATATGTTTATACAATAATTCATAATACAAATAATTTTTGGCCATGTATACCTCAGTTGTGAGGACACAACTCTCAAAAAAATTGGGGTGGATGTTATAATACATTGACCTCTCATTACAACTCTTATCTAGACAGTAAACTATGATAACTATTGTCAAATAAAAATTGTCATACTGTCACATATGGACAATATAATCAACATTATCTATTAAGCAATAAACTAAATTAATTTAAAACTTTCATGTAAATATTAAAATACACATAAATATTAACATAAATTGTCACTAATATGTCAATATTATAATGAAATAATTAATTATTGTCCAGAATAGTATGTTAAATTTTAAGATAACATGTAATAAATAATTTAATAAAGAGATATCAATAGCGTTTCTGACACTTCTTGCACATGAATATAGATATATTAATTAACAAATCAGGATATAAAAGGGAACAAAACAGGCCTAAAAATGGGCAGTATACTCTTGGCATGCTCTCAGTGTCTCATCAGTATACTCCCATGGCTCATTTTATATTGATCCAGGCGTGCTCCCAGTATTGACGCAGCTCATTAATCTCAATCGTTTAGTTCATGTGTAAGAAGTAAACAGATACGTTAAGAATTATTCAAAATAAACAGACGACTTAATTCATTCTCTAGATATCCTTTGGAAATATCAAGGTAAATGCTAATTAATTAAATTAATAAGGTTTAAAAATATTAATTCTTTAAGTACATGGTTAACATAGGGACAAAGAAATATTGAGTGATCACTAAAAAAATCACTCTGTCTTTCTATTACCTTTTCACTATTCTCATAAACCCTCGAACTCATACCCGAGAAACTTTATTAAAACAAATAGTAACTTCTCTTTCCCGCTAAAATAGAGTAATTTTCTTTTTGAGTTACTATATATATCTCACAGTACCCATTCTAGCAATTGTTTTTAAAACGTCAACCAATTTTAAACCAATCGCAGTGTCAAAAGAAATGCTAATTCATCATTTTGAAATTCTACTGTAAGATTGTATAAGAGTATGCGTGATCACCACAGTCATTCGATCAAAAGCGTATNCGTGATCACCACAGTCATTCGATCAAAAGCGTATAAGCAACATGTCATCACAAAGTATTAACAACGAAGAATTTTTACAAATTCTAAATAATATGAAAAGTGAACCGTTGTCTCCACTACTTGGCGAAGAAGAATTCGCAGATATAATAAACGAGATGAAAATTGAATCACTTTCGCAAACAATGGTAAGTAATTTAAAAATAATTTTATTTATGCGATTATAATAAAATATATATATTTTCGCAGTCTCAAGAATTATTACCAGATTTTTGGAATATGGATGAATATTATTTAAATATAGTTAATGAAATAGAAAATCCTGCATCATATTCGATGATCGATGCGGGGCAACATCAAACTTGGTTAAATGAAACGGTATGTGTTTAATATTTTATATATATTTAAAAAATTTTCATGTTTTTATTATAATAATAGAATCAGTTAAATAATGAATCAGTTAATGGAAATTGTCTTCATCTCGGAGCACATCCATGGTTGAATTTTGATACGGAAGAAGATTTATTGGACCTAATAACACAGGGAACGTGGGTTGATGATGTAAAGACATCAGATTACCAAGAAATGATAAGTAAGTAAAAAAAANATTATAATAAAATATATATATTTTCGCAGTCTCAAGAATTATTACCAGATTTTTGGAATATGGATGATTATTATTTAAATATAGTTAATGAAATAGAAAATCCTGCATCATATTCGATGATCGATGCGGGGCAACATCAAACTTGGTTAAATGATACGGTATGTGTTTAATATTTTATATATATTTAAAAAATTTTCATGTTTTTATTATAATAATAGAATCAGTTAAA